CTGTCCACGACACCAAACAGAAGAAGTAGCCAGTCCGGATGGTGAGGCTTGCATGCAGGTGGGTGTGTAAATACTTAAAGCCACTTTGGGAAAATGTGCGACAGTACCTAAATATATGCCCCTCCTGCCACCCAGACATCCCACTCCTGGGGACAGAGCCAGCAGAAATGAGGGCTGATGGCCACCCAAAAATATTACAAGGATGTCACAGCAGCATCACTTGTAATAGGACACAGAGTCCAGAGAGCCCAAAAGTCCACCTGCAGAAGAATGGGTAAGTGGACAGAGGTCATCTGTACAATGACACCCAATGACAAAGGACACTGACATGCAACATGGTGTTAAATGAAAATGCCAGCTGCAAAGCACAGCAGCTGTCCAAAGTTCCAACATAGACCACACTGACCTGTGGTGTCAGAAGCAGAACAATGGGTCCCTTCAGGGAAGCACTGACTGTGAGGGACGCAAGGGGATCTTCTAGGGATCTGGGAGTGTTCCAAGTCTTTTTTTCTTTTTCTTTTTATGGTACTGAGGTTTGAACTCAGGGCCTTCCACTTACTAGGTGGGCGTTCTACCACTTGAGCCACTCTGCCAGCCATGTTTCACCTCTTGATCTGGGTGGTGCTTTCTTTTTTTTTTTATTGTTTTATTATTCATATGTGCATACAATGCTTGGGTCATTTCTCCCTCCTGCCCTCACCCCCTCCCAAGGTGGTGCTTTCAAGGGCTGGCCATACACAGGCCTGCTCTGAGCTATCCACGTGGGATTTGGGTCCATTGAAAGTAAAATATGTGAACTCTCAAAAGTCATGGACATAAGATAGATCTGTCTGTCTGTCTCTCTCTTTCTTTCTCTCTCTTTCACAGGGAAGGCCCTGCCTCCTGCCCAAGTAACTCTTGCCAGATTGGAACAGCAGGAGAGGGTCTCTCCTTCTATAGAAAGGCCTGCCAGGGATGAAAGTCTAAAATGTCACAGGAGGACCCTTCCATTTGACAGATCGAAACTGAGGATTAGAGGAGTTCTAGGGTCACAGCAAGCCAGTAGCAGAGCCAGTCTTTCAGAATCCAGGCTTCTTGGTACAACAGAGGTGCTGTCAGTAGTATGAACAGGAGGTTAGGTGCCTCTAGTGGGGCCTGCTATACCCCATCTGCCCATTTTACAGATAAGCAAACAGGCCCAGAAAGGGAGAGTTGCAAACAAGAATTCAGCCCTACATAGTGGCCTTCCTCCTTCGGAGGCTGTGTAGAACTGGAAGGCTGTTTAGGGAGCATCCAGCCTACTGGGGGACATGGAAGAGGGCTTGGGCAGGGGCAAGGATTTGCCTGGTTTCACATCCTTCAGATTGAACGTCCAGTTCCCTGTCTGGACGGATAGCCTACTTCACAGGACTGAAAACTGAATGATAATAAGTATGTAGTAAGTGTCTAATAAGTGTCTGTTGTCATTTCAGCAGCTGGAGCAAAGCTGCTCCAACTCAGGCTGGCTCTGGGTTGTCTTGGCACCTGCAGGACAAGCCTTTGAAGACTGACGTGCACCACTCTCGCTCTGGGTGCTCAAAGACAGAAAGGGTCCAGCAACAGGCACTGTCCTCACTTGTCTTTCTCATTCTCTCACAGCGGGGTGAGGTCTGACCTCTGCAGATGAGTCTGGAGTTAATGATGAAGATCAAGAGCTATGGAGCCAGATATCGACAGGTCAATCCAGGCTCTACTGTGTGACCTGGAGACAGTTTCTTAACCTCTCTGAACCTTGGTCTCTTTGTAAAAGGGGAAAGACCCGTACCTCCCCCATAGAGAGTTTTTGAGGATTAAGTGGGCTGATGCATAGTGCCTGATGCATGGTAAGTGCTCAGGAAGTCTGAGGTACGATTGCTATTACAGCAAAAACCATGGCTTCCCTGAAGCCAGGGTCCTCTGGGACGTCCACCAGGGTATTCCTTGCTACGGCTCCCATTTCAGGATGGGGGCAGGCAGTCAGCCTTGCCAGGCAGGATTAAGCATAGGGGTTGATGGCAAAGAAATGCTGTTTAAATCAATGTTGAAGTTTTGTTGCACACATAAATTAGCACAAAAATGCAACACTGGGACAGGCACCCATGGCCGGTTGCCACGTAGATGGTCCAACTCTCCTGGAAAGTGGTTCTTGGCCACAGCCATAAAAAGTCAATATCCTCTGTCCCAGTAATAACACTCCTGGGAATTCAGCTAAAGAAATAATTCAACAGACTTAAAGAGAAAACAAACAAACAGCTCTGTGCATGGAATTGACCCTGCAATGAGTATAAGAAGAAAAATGGTGAGAACCAGCCTCATTCCCACAACAGGAGCTGTGGAGTGACTGATGGATGTCAGAGCTGGAAGTCCTAGGATATTGTGACAGTCGTTAAAATGGTAATTACACTGCACTCTGTATAATGGCTGCTTGCAGATAGGGACTCAGAGAGGGCTGCAAAAGGGGGAGAAAATAGTGGGATTGAATGCAATTTTGCTCTCAAATCCTTTTGACTCTTCGATGAACAAGCCCAGCTGGGTTTAAGGAAGACCCCTGGGGCTGTCTGGAGGAGGAGAAAGGGAGGGATGTGCCTGGAGGCGGGGACCTGCAAAGAGGCTGCTGCAAGCCTGGGGGGGCGGGGCACCGAACCAGCAGGGAGAGGGAGGAGCCCAGGTGGGCACCTGAGCACACCGAAGAGCAGGTGGCACAGGTCAGTGGCTGGTGCCCAGGAAGCAGGAAGATCTCTGGGCTGGGACCACCACGTGTAATGGATGTGGCTGAGCCCCTCAAGGGAATGGGAGAAGAGGCCAAGGGCACAAACCCACAAGGAGACAGAGAAACCTGGGTCAGAGGAGTGGAGGGGCAGGGTGAGTTGTCTAGAAGCCAAAGAGGCAAGAGATCTGGTGGAGGGAATGGGCAGGGGTCAGGTGTCTGGGAGGGGCCCAGCAAGACTGGGACTGAAAAGTCCCAGTTGGGTTGATCAACTCTGAGGACATTAATAAGAGCACTCTCAAGGCCATAGGACAGAGAGGCAGACCCTGAAAATCTGGGCTTTTGAGGGTACTGAAAGAAAGAAAAGGGAGGGGACAAATCCAACAGTGACTAAAAGGTAGATGGTCCCAGTTGGGACCAGCAGTCCTTCCCAAAGGCCCCCAAGAGACTGGCTCTGGGTGCTGCCAGGCTCAGAAGGCAGACCTGGTGGTCTGCAGCCCCCTGCTTTTCTTTTTTCGTGGTCACTGCACTCAAAAAACACAAGAAGGTGTGTGTGGGGAAGCTGGGGTTCCCCCAGCCTGGAGGGCTGATGGGACGCCAAATGCCAGCTGCCAGGATCCCCCAGCCTCAGCAGGCTCAGTGGAGGGACACACACCCTGCCAATAGCTCCAGGTGCCAGGGGAACAAGTCCAGGGCCAGCCCAGCCCTGCCAGCCCAAGACGTGGGAGGAGCCTCCTGTGCCATCTGGGGTGGGGGCAGGGCTATGGCAGCAAGAGGAGGTTGACTAAAACTCAAAATTCTTTTATGTTAATAAAATGTTTCCTAAAAGGACAATTCGTTCCCATTTTTGTATTTAGTTGTATCTTAAAAATTACAAACTTTTATAGCATAATGATAAAAATAGCAATTACTCAAGGTGACTGACAAGCCTCTGTGTGGGTCGTGGTCTGGGCCCTTTCAACAGAAGGATCCCTTGACTCCCCTACGTGCCGGCATACAATCACTGTGCCCATTTTACAGGTGAGGAAAGGTGACCCCTTCACTGCAGACTTTGAGCTGCTCCCTGGTCATTTTTCTGCTCTCAGCTCTAGGGCCACCCTCCCCAGAGCTGGAGTCCAGGAAGAGGGGTTCTGGCCTGGTTATCCTCCCTCTTTGTGACACACGCATGTCAGGTGATTTTTGAGCCTGGGTATGCTCACCTATAAAGCGGCAGAGGGACGGGCTGCAATGGCTACGAACTTTGGCTCTGACGCCTGAGCTGGGGGTGCTGCCACCAGCTGATATCACAGCCTTTCATGTGGGTAGGGCCTGTGCTGCTTGCTTAGGCTGGGATTTGACCTAAGGAGTCATGAGGAAGGGGCCTCCCTTGACCTTGCCTGGATACTCTGAGTTGGGGGGGGGGCCGGGGAGGCAGCAGGAAGGCAGTGGGTGCTTTGGCCTTTCTTCCCCTCCTTCCACACCTCCCCTTTCCTTGTGCTCTGGACACCAGTAGGTGGCTGGGGTTGGTCAGTGCCTCACAGCTGTTTGTCCTGCCCAGTCCCATTGTCTGAACCACACTTTTGGGAGCCCAAATTTGTTCTTACAGGGAGGAAGGTGGCCATAGAACTCCAAAGGGGAAATGACTGGCCCAAGATCACGCACAACCAAAAGTAGGCTCCCCCTGCTTGGCCTCCTCTGTCTGAGCCAGGAAAGTCTAGAAAAGAGAGTGGAGGAGGAGACACCAGGGTGGGACCCTGTTCTGCACCCATTCCCCACCCAAGAGCTGGAGGGCTTTCAAGAATCGAGGCTGGGCATGCATCTGAGCTCAGGCTGTCTTTTGAGCACATTCAAAGGTGGGAGGTGGTGCAGGGCATCCAGATTTGTCTTATAGGGCACTCTGCTCTCCACGCTTCAGCATGAGAGAGGACTCAGAGTCCCTCGGGTAACATCCTATCTCCTGACCATGGAGAGTGAGTGGGGCTGTTTGGGAAAGCAAATGAAATAGTTATTTAATGAAATCCCGGTGGTGCCAATCATGTTCCCACACCTGCAGGGGACGCTGTTGCACCCATTTTGCAGGCGCGGAAACTGAGGCTCAGAGGGGTGCCTGGAGAGTGAGCCTTCCCGGCGCGCCTGTGCCAGACACCTGCCCGCGTTCGGACCGGTTCCCCGCCACCTCGCCAGGAAGGCGCGATCCGCCAGTTACACTTCGGGCGGTGACGGCCGGACACGGGGACGCCCTCGGGCGACTCGGCTCTCAACCGGAGGCCCCCTCCCTCCATGGCGGCCCCCCGACGCCACGCAGCGCGGCGCTCACCTCGATGCGGTCGATGCGGTCTCGGAGGGCGCGCACGGCGTCCTCCAGCTCCAGGATGAGCGCAGGCGAGTCCCAGGCGCCGTCGGCCATGGTGTCGCGGCGGGGTCCGGCGTCCTGGAGGCCGCGCGGCAGGCCGCTCTCGCAGCGGCCCAGCTTGCCGGTGAGCTCGCGGATGGTGTCCTGGTCGGCGCGGATGCGCGCCTCCTGCTGCAGCGCCGTCTGGCGCAGCTGCTCGGCCGTGCTCTGCAGCAGCAGCAGCTCCTCGCGCTCGCCCGCCGCGTCGCCCTGCTCGGTCCCCGACGGGCAGGCGGCCGCCAGCGGCGTGCACAGGAAGCGGCTGAAGAGCGGCCCGGGCGGCAGCGGGTGCGCGCTGGCCGCCGGCGCCCCGGGCAGCGCGGAGGGCCCGGCCGAGCCGCCCGCGCCGTGCAGTGCGCTCAGGCTGCGCTGCGGGCCCGGGGACACGGCGGCGGTGCCCGAGGCGGCCGAGGCATTGTCGGCGCCGCCGGGCAGCGCCCGCGCCGGGCTGGCCGCCAGGGGCACGCTGGCGATGATGCAGATGACGGCACCGAGGAACGCCAGCATGCCCGCGGCCAGCAGCACGGCCAGGAACTTCAGCGTGAGGCGGGCGGCGGGGGCGCCCGAGGCCCCCGGCAGGAGCGGCGACGGGGTCGGGGCGCGGGGCCCGGGAGCGCGGGAGCCGGAGCCGAAGCCGGAGCTGTCGCCGCGGCCGCTGCTGCCGCCGCTCTGAGCCCGGGCGGCGGGAGGAGGAGAAGGCGGCGGGCGCGGCGGCCCCGCCCCACTCGCTCCCCCGGGCCCGCGGTGGCCCAGCCCCGCACCCGTTCCGTGCCGGGCGCCCAGGTGCGGGCGCAGCGGCGATGCAGTGAGGGGCGCGGATAGCGCCCAGGACTTTATCTCGCCGCCAGCGTTGCGCAGAGGGCGGTGGCCGGATGGCCGCGCCGCGGGGCGACCCCCGCCTCTCCCCTCCTGTGCTCTGATCCCCTCTCGGTGCGGGTAATGCCGACAGCTGTCGTGCAGGGAGCTTGTCTCTGAGTGGGGCCCTGTGCGGAGCGTGCGGCAAGCCCGGTTGTAATTAAGCCTCCCGTGGACGCGCTTTCAATATAAATGAGGAAACTGAGGCCCATTGAGGTCATGTCCTGCCCAAGGTCACACAGCTGGTATGCAGTTGGAGCAACATTTGAACTCAGGCGCTTCTGAGTGGTCCCAGACTACTGGATGGAGCTGGGGTGGGAGATAGAGAAGAAAAGAGGCCACAGTGTGTGGGGGTGACCTAACCTCTGCTTATTCTGTAGCTACCTGCTTGTGACTTGCCACCTCCAATCTTCTAAAACAGCAGAGTTCACTCTGCTCTGCCCCTAAAAAAAAAAAAAAAAAAAATCTGTGCTCAGGAGATAGCAGAAATCCCTTCCTCTGAATCCTTGGGGGCACAGACACCAAAGATTCTAAAGGAGACCCCTGTCGCATTGTGTTAGGATGGTAGGTAGGAGGAATCATGGTGGGCCTGAGGACCAGGCAGGGAAGGAGCAAGCAGGAAGGGGAGTGGGCGGGGAGGGGAAGAAGCATTTACTTCGTCTTGTGGAAAATGTCTACATATTCTATATTCCCTGGCCAGTGTGCATTCCTGGGGCTGGAAAGGCAGGCATGGGGGAGGCTGTAAGTATGTTCCATGCCCACCTGCTGTTTGTGGGAATTGCCTGGTAAATCCTGAGCCCAGCCTTAACTTGAAGGGAGGACTCACACCAGGGTCTCTGGACCACCCACCCCAGCTACCGATGTGGTCTTGAATGGTTTCCACATAGTGCAGTGGGGAGGGGAGACCAGAACATTTCTGAGAGGGGAGAAGCTCTGGAGGACCCTGTCTGGTCACTGGACTCCAGCCATCCATCGCATGGGCCTCCATACTCACAGGAATCATGGCCCCCCTGCCCTCCCCATCTCCAGGAGTCAGGGGAGGTTCGTGCAGATCTGAGTTGTGACACAGAAGCCAAGTGATTGCAAGCGCTGTATGCAGTGAACCCCTAGAGCTGTGTGTGTGTGGATGGGAGCGAGCACTTGCACAGGTAGTGACCTGAAAACCTAGCCCAGGCAGTGCAGCTTGGAGGCAAAGGCTGGCAGCAGGGCCTCCCTGGAGCCCTGGAAAGCATGAGGTATTGGCACTTCTGGTGTGGCTAATGTGTCCTGTGAAGACAGAAGCACACAGGTAACATTGCCAGGGAAACCGTCCTGGGAGAGCCAGGGAAAGACAGGAGAGACCAAGAGAGGGAGCCGCTGCCAGCAACAGAACAGAGCCACTGTGACTTGGACACCAAGTGGTGCCACCATTCCAGGAGCTGCCCTTGAGAGTTTGGGGACAGTTGGATAAAGAGGTCCAGGGAATAGAGTTAAACCTTGTTTAAATCTGTGATTTGAACAAGTCATGACCCTGCTTATACACCTGTGGGGGCCACCTCACCCTTCGTTCTTGTTCGGGTCTATCTTTTCAAGGTGAACGGTCTCGGAAAACAGAACAACTGTTTTCCTCTGGTCCAGAGAGCAGATTTATATCTTGGGAGCAAAAGTGGAGCAAGTCAGCTTGCAGCCCATCATAAAGATTGGGGATGCCTCTGATACTGGTTCCTTAGCTGTGCTGCAGACCTACTGTGTGTGCAGGATCCATCTAGGTCACCTGTGTTGCCCCTTGGGGCCCAGGGAACATGTACTGACATGCAGTCCGTGCTGCCTGCTGTGCTGTAATAGTCTTGTCTCTGATCCAGGGTCTTGAGTCTTCTGCCAGCACCTACGAAGCCATGGTAGGCTAATTTGTTAGTTTGCAAATTGGGCAAATCTCAGGCCTTTGCAATTTTTTTGTAGGGAGATTTGAACTCAGGGCCTTCACTTGCTAGGTAGGTGCTCTATCACTTGAGCCACTCCACCAGCCCTTTTTGTGTTGGTTGTTTTTAAGATAGGGTATTGTGAATTATTTACCTGGGCTGGCTTTGAACCACAATCCTCTTGATTTCTGTCCCCCAAATAACTAGGATTACAGGTGTGAGCCACCAGTGCCTGGCTCCCTTTTTGCTTCTAATTTTTGAATAGGGTCTTGCTTTTATTTATTCCCTAGAGGGCCTGGACCTCCAATTTACACTTCCCCCCCATAGCTGGTATGATGGGTGTTGCATTTCCACAACCAACTTTTTATTGGTCAAGATGGGGTCTGGCTGTTTGCCCAAGATGGCCTCAAACTGTGATAATCTCCACCTCCCAAGTAGCTAGGGTGGCAGGTGTGAGCCACCATGCCCGGCTCCATTCACAGTTCTTGAGACCTTCTCTATGCCCCAGTTTTTGGATCTGCAACATGTGGACTAACAGGAATATATAGAAAACCTTGATGCACATTGGGTCTTATTGTGTTGGCTTCTTTGGTCCTGCAAGAGGATTGGAAATCTGAGCACTGCTCCCCCTTCCAGGTTTGTCTCCAATCCTGGGCTGCCTGCCAGGATCAAATGCCCCAAGCACAACAAAATGTCTCCTCTCTGCCTTTGTTCACGCATCCCCAGGGCCTGCAGTGCCACACCATCTTCCTCCTCCATTCCTCTCCATCCGTAGCATTCAGTGTGAAACCTCCAGGTCCATTCCTGGAGAATGCTTGCTGGGCTGGCTCCCCCACAGCCAGTGCTGCTGCTGGGGTCAGAGTGGGGAGGCGAGGTCACACAGGTCCCCTCTCCTGGGCTCTGGGAAGAACACCCTTAATCCTAATACAGAATTCTTCATGGGATGGCTGGAAAAGGACCCTTAGGGACCTTCTATGAGATGTGATAGTTCCCATGATTTCCATCCCAACTCTCACAGCTCCTGGTTTGTGGTTTTTATTTGCTTTTGTTTTTTCTCCCCAGAGTTGAGGATGGAACCTAGGGCTTTGTGCATGCCTGGCAAGTGCTCTACCATCCCAGTGGTAGACTGGGATGCACCTCTAGTCTCCTGGGTCTTTTGTTTCTCTACTTTCATTCCATTCTCAGGGTGAGGAAATTTTGCCATAGATAAATATAGTCATTCATTCAAAAATATGTTTTTAGGTCATCTTTGGGCCAGACATAGAGCCAGGCATTGGGTGGGGACAACACAAGTTTGCATAGTTCATTCTCTAGTGGGGAGGCAGGCAGTAAACAAATGAATAATTAAAACAAGTCAATGTATAATGGTGACAACTACAAAGAGACATTATAAAGTAATCGAATAGAAAGTTACAAGGCAAATGGGACAGGGTTGTTGGAGAATCATTACAACATGATGTTGGAGGGCATCATTCATGAGGTTATCAAAAAGGTGAATGACGTGAGAAACCAGCCATGCAGAAATCTGAGAAAGAGGGAGTGTTCTAGGCAAGAGGAACAGCTGGTACAAAGGCCCTGAGGCAGAAATGAGCTTGGTATGTTCCAGAGACAGAAGGAAGGCCAGTGGGGCTGAAACAGAGTGTGAACCAGGGGAGGGAAGAGGCTGGAGAAGGAAGTGGAGCCAGTCCATATAAGGCTTTAGAGCCTGGGAGTGTGGGGAGGAAGAAATGAGTTTGATTCTAAGCCCAACTGGAGGGGCTTAAGCACAGAAATGACATCATGTGGATATATATGTTTTAAAAAAAATCTCTCTGGTAGTTGTGCAGAGATGAGTCACCAAGGGATAGGAGGAAAAGCAGGGGGAACTGTTGGTGGGACATGCACCCAGCCAGATGAGAGGAATAGGGCATGGAGATCATGATGATGGAGCAGGTGAGAGACTGTGGACTCCTTTTAGAGGTGGCCTGTGTCACTGGGGTCCTGTAGGAAGTGGACTCTGAGGTGGGGTTAGACCAGCAAGAAGTTTATTGGGTGCTGCTAGTTTGGATGTTGAGTGTCCTCCAATGATCTATATATAAAGGCTTGGTCCCCAGTGTGGCACTATTGGGAGATGCTGCAAATCTTAAGAGGTGGGGCCTACTGGGAGGCGCTCAGGTCATTGGGGGCGGACCCTCAAAGGGGATTATGGGAGCCTGGTCTCTTTCCTCCAATTTAAGATGTGACTGCTTCCTCCTTATGTCACATCACATGCTACTTGGGGTCATGAACTATTTGCCTGGGCTGGCCTTGAACTGAAGTCCTCCCAATCTCAGCTCCAAGTAGCTAGGATTACAGATGTGAGCCACTGGTACCCAGCTCAATTGAGATTAGTTTTTAAAAGAAGGGAAGAAAGTGGAATTGGGCAAGGAAATATAATCAAGTCACTTTTAAGAGCTGGAAGGTTGAACTCATGCACAGGAAAGCAATGCGAGTCAACTCCCTGTATAGCTATCCTTATCTCAACTAGCAAAAACCCTTGTTCCTTCCTATTATTGCTTATACTCTCTCTTCAACAAAATTAGAGATAAGGGCAAAATAGTTTCTGCTGGGTATTGAGGGGGTGGGGGGAGAGGGAGGGGTAGGGTGGGTAGTAAGGGAGGGGGTGGGGGCGGGGGGAGAAATGACCCAAGCATTGTATGCACATACGAATAAAAAAAAAAAAAGAGCTGGCAGGTTGAATGCTAATTGGGTAATTGGTAGTCTCTGCCACAGGCACACAGCAGAGCCTTGAATGCGAGGCTCAGGGTGGTCAACTCATTGCCAGTTGGCCTGGGATTTTTCCCAGTTTCAGGACAGAAAGTCCTGTGTCCCAGGAAACCTGTCATTCGTGGCTCAATGGTGACTGTGGGCCACTCTGGCCCACATTCCATACACCCTTTGTGTCGTATAGAGTAGACATTGGCCTCGTGGGACTTTCCCTCCCTTCTGCCCCTCCCACTTTCCCTTCTGCCCACAGGCTGGGAGCTCCTGGGGGCAGGGAACAGCTGTGACATCCTCATCTGTGTCTCCATGGCTGGCACTTGTGGATGTCGCAACTCCAGTGAATGAAGCCAAGCCCCATAAGCAAAGGGACCTCTTCTCCCCATGAGGTGGGGAATTGAGGGCTGGGGAGAAAGACATCCACCCTGGGCATCTTCACCCCAAATGTCTAGTCTCTACTAGGTCTGGATCCAGCCCTGTGTTCTCTGTGAGGCAGAGCCAGGGGTGCCCACCTCTCTAGGTATAGGGCAGGTGATGTGTAGAACCTCCCCCAGGATACAGAAATGGCAGGGGCTGTTTCTTACCATGTTGCTTCATATTCTGAAGGCACAGCACAGAGCTGGGCCCATAGGTGCCCAATACATGCTACCTCCTACCGTACTTACTCCTAGTAGGTCAATGTTAATTTCTTTTTTCATGGTCGCCGGTTTTTGTTTCCTTGCCATGCTGGGAATGGAACCCAGAGCGTTGTGCCTGCTAGGGTAGTACTCTACCACTGAGCTACACTCTTAGTCCTTAATTTTCTTTTACCCCAGGTGGCTATAGTGTCTTACCACAGAGTTACTCCTGCCCCCTTTCTGAGCAGGGTGTTTCGACTAAGGCTCAGACATATATTCAGTCAATACACTTCAGCCTCCCAAGAGGGAAGCAAGTCCCAGCTAGAGCCCAGAAATGTGTGCATGCAGTAGACACTGGGACAAGAAGCCCTGAGCAGAGAAGAGTGCAGGAGCCAGGGGAGAGAGACCCAGCCTCTCTGGGAAAGCCCAGAGATTTCCACCCGAATGTCTGCCTCCTGGAAGCAGGAAAAGCAGCCAATCCTGCCACAGGCTTAGGCAGGAAGTAGGGACATCTGTTCCCCCACAGACTCAGGAGGGGCTGAGAAGCAAGGAGGAAGTGTGTGTCCTCCTTGTGGGGGGCCCTGCTAGTTGGCGGGAGAGCATGTGCCCAGTCCAGGCCCAGGGAAGAAAGGAAGGCCAGAAGGAGAACACTGGCCAGGAAGCCTGCCTCCTCTTTCCCAGGCTGTACAGCGTCTCCAGGCATCCACCACCCCCAGGGCTGCTTGCTTCCTCCTGCTGCTTCCTGAGGT